ATAGGATAATGTTATTGAAAACAAAACAAAAAATTATAGATTTATTTAATATCGAAACAGGTTTACTTAAAAGTAATCTTCTATACAAACAATAATTGAGATCTTGTACATATATTATAAATGTAATTTTTAGTCATATTTTAGTTAGGTTACATGTTAAATTGCAAATTTAAAAAATTAAACATGTGAAATAGAATAAAGTTGAATAATCTGCAATTTTTTTTTGGATATTTTATATTTTATTTTTAGTATACTTTTGATGCTTCAATAATATCTGTCAAAAAAATATGTGTCGTGAACTTTTGGAAGGGACATTCATGGTCATGTACTACTATGCTATTAAAAAATGTTGTAAATATGTGATAAAGGTGAGTGTGACGATACAGATGTAGTCAGTGAAGGCAATAGAAATGTGTTTTGAAACTATCGGGAGATTCGATGAAAGTGTAGCCTTGTACTGGCCAGTCTTCGTACTGCTTATACTGTATTGTGACATAATATATTGTTTATTATATTTTAGTTATTAAATATTAGAGTATTTATGGAAACCACACCTAACTTACGTAGGTATACTCATGTTAATGATAGTTGCACCACCTTTGTACATGGTGTATTTATATGTATGAATATATTATCTGCCATATAATTTTAAAAAAGCATGACTTTTTACTTGGGTACCCAAGCACCCACTGTCCACTGGTTCTTCCTGGCCTTGGCTGCTTACAAAGATGACTTTTAATCTAACTACATTATCTGTTTCTTTTTTGGTAGACCAGTTAACTATCAAAAGTTTCATCTTATGTTCTATAATATAAGAATTTAGAACTGCTACTTCAGTTTTTTTGCTTTTCTATCTATAAGTTTTTACATGAACTATTTGAACCTCTATTTCCCTGACAATGGCATTCATGTCTCAAACTTTAAGTGTCACTTTTTGTTGCTTATTACCACGGTTACATATTTAGCTATTTTTTTTTGTACGTGCTGCGAAAACACAAATGAATCCTCAACATCTTTAGATATATATTCCGCATGTCTCTTTTTTTTTATGTGACAAAACGTTGCACTGAAACATTAGCCAGCCGAAGATTGCAGTTTTTTTTATTAACCTGAGCATATTAGCGAAGTTCTACCTTTTAGTTAGTTTTACCCATAGACTGAGCGTTATGTCTTCTTTATTTCTCTGGTATTTTTTGTTACAAGGATAGTCTCCTTCTGTTGACCTTTAGTTATCTTTTTTTATATGATGACGAAATTTTCAGTTTTTTCTTAGTGTTATCTAAGGGACTTTGCCGTTTTTTTATCCATCCTTTTCTCGTACGAGCACAGTTAAAAGTTATACCCAGAACATACGGTTAAAAGTTATTTATTTTTTATTGCCTAGTTTGCAAGAATTAAAGGCACTTTCTCAGAATTTTAAATTTATTTGTTAGCACTGAAAACGTCTTATTTAATAACTTATACTGACTTTGGATATTCAAGAGCATCATTAAGGCTATCCTTTGTATTCTTTGCATTGTTTTTATTGCTTTAATTAATTGCCTTAAACGTTTTTTTAATCTCTCTGATTAAGGATTCATCTCGCTCAATCTGTTTTTTGTACACTACAGAAACATTGACAGAGTACTCATTTTTTTACCACTAATATCAACTCAACGTTGTTCTCTTGATATGTCACTGAATTTTTTCAATAGGGACCGCATAAACTTTACTTTAAGGTCAAGCCACTTGGAGACCAGGGAGATTATTGCATCTCACAGTATTAGCAAGTAAGCCAACCACCAGTAGCTGGAGGTGCTAGTTCTTACGAGCTTTAAAAAGAGCTCAGGATTCCTGTGTATCTTTGTTGGTTGCATTCTTTGCAAGAACCACTTCCTGCTGACGCATATCGTGAGTGATAAATTAAAATTTTCAGAGCAGAGTAAGATCGCACAACTTTTCAGGATACAAACTCGGTCTTTTTATCTTTTTTTCTTTTTAATAACCATCTACGTACACTCATCAAGAACTTTTTAATTATTGGTACCACTTATTATAACGCTAGTGATTTTTTCAGCTGTAACGATCTGATACAAATGGCTCTCAAGCCACTGCCACTACTGTCACCACCTTGTCCAGTTAAGTAAAGTGTGTCCTACTGCTTTGTTTACTTCAGAATAGTAGTCACAACTAGGTATTGGTCTTAGTGGCATGGGCTAATCATATGTAGGACATTGTCCAAGATCCAAGAAAAAGTGGCATAAGGTAATAGTTTGTTTCTCCGTGACCATATCTGAGCCATCAGAGCAAAGCCAGTGTAAATGCAGTGTATATACCTGCCCACAACGATCTCATTTCTCTTATTCTGGAAGCTGTGCTTATTTTTCTTATTACAATCGTTGTCCAGCTCAGTCCAACTGGACAAAAACCTCACTCTGCGCTGTTGTTCCAAAAGAACGATAGGCACTGTATTCGCAATCTCTATAACCGTAGTCAAAGATACCGTGTGGTATGCAGAGGTAACTAGCAGGGTCCTTACTCACTGTACAGATATTAAGCAGTTCTAAGGTCATGTCACTGCCAACGCATCCTCTTATATCTCTTAGCTTTGCAATATAATGTAGTTCACTACCGATGTGAGTACCAGTCGTTTTGATTCTCGTGGACCACCAATACTTGGTATCAGTCTTCAGAGACTCCCAATGACCTTTAAGGCTATTTGTGCAGTTCTTTAAAAATTTTTTTCAAATGAAATTCAAGAACCAATCTACACTCCGGAATACCTGACCACAGGATTCTCACAGAACACCGTACACGTGACGTTCACACAAAAATTTTTACCAAATCATCGCTGCCGAGTAAAAACAACAATCTTTATTTCCTGGCCAACTAGCTCAAAGCCGTGGACCCCTAGCCACTCTGACATTCTTAGTGTTATCCAACTGGGATTTAAGCTCAGCTATGACACAGAATATTGCTAAGAGGACTAGGCCAATATTATCCATGCAGCGGAACAAAAATACTTCCTTGGAAATTTTAAGCATAAAAGCACATCGTATATAAGGTTTCAAACATCTGGATATACCGTAGAAACCTGACCCATCCCTGACGTTAATTCTTAGTATACATGGCTCCTTCACCGTGTTACTGAAGCACATGGTCCTAGAGATAGTTGTTCAAGACCTCTTTTTCAGTAAGTCAGTATTTCTTGTTTGCTCAGCTCTTTTCTTATGTGGAGTCATTTTACCAATTTGAAGGCATTCTGACATCTAGGGTTATCAAAATACAAGCATTCCTTGTCTTATAAGGAGCTTGCACGACCGTTTTATGTACTTCAGAATCTTTAACAACACGTGGCATGTTCACACCATGCTTCTTTCTGGATAAATTTACCACCTGACGTGAATGCGCTCAAAGTATTCTCTTTATTACCTAGCCCAAGTCGTTCAGCATACACAGGGGCTAAAATAACGAGAGTGTGATACATAAGCTTTTGTACTTATGCAGAAAAAAGAGCTGTTTGATCTTTTACGGTATACTTAATATGCTTGCTATGAAACGTATCCAGCATAACAGATGGCTTTTTTTGCTGCCACAATTTTAAGGACTTCATTAGATATCCTGTCTGGCCTTTCAGCCTTTTATCTTAGCAGTTCTAATGAAATCATTGATACCTCTAATTGACAAAAAAAAATATTACCAACCACGGTCACCTTTGGCCAATCTCACTCAACATCTACCATGAACAGAGCCTTGACAACATTCAGCAAAAACGATGGATACATTAACCCCACTGGTCCCGAACCACGTAATTGTTGTGTGAAGTTAGTAGAGTAAAATTAAAGTAACTGTCTGATTATCAGAAAAAAGAGAGAGGGAGTGGGAGAAAGAAAAAGACTTATTTATAGATTTATATTACTTTAAGGGCCACAAGGCACGATTCCCAATGACAAGTAACACTGTCAGACACTAGTATCAAACACAGTATAACCTAAAAAATAGTATTAACAATTAAAATCATTATTAAAAATAAGAAAAATGCTAGTAGTTCTAATGGTCTAGTGCATTTAATGATTGCCATAGATAATTAAGTAAGCAGTTTTCTAAGAGAGTAAGGTAAAGAGAGAGAAAGAAGAAGCTTTGAAATTAAACTTCGATAACTGGAAGTTTGGTATTATACATAAATAATTTTAGATAGAGAGCAAGAGGCATATTATGATATATTTTATTAAAAAAGATTTATATCTCTCTTTCTTATCTTTTTTTAAATTGATAATATTGCTAAGAGTTCTAAAAAGATGTGTATAATAAAATAGCAAAATCATAAATTTTTTTTTATTGCTGGAGTCACTTAACTAATTAAATAACGCTCTGTCTTTGTTTAACTGTTTAATTAATGAACATTTTGTTTTTGGTGAATGTTTCAAGCCCAACTTATTTTTTACTGTGAAACAGTTTTTTTTCTATTTTGAGTTATGGTACTGTAGCATTGCTTTTATTATAATTTGTAAGATTTTATTTTTTTTCTACGGTTTTCAGTTACGTATTTAGTTGCTTTTTAAATAACAATGACTTTTTGTATTCTTTTTATTTAAAAAATCTTTTACATTATAAACAGAAGTTAGTAGTTTCCTTAAGTACTAAAATGTCAACCAAAACGAACATGGCAATGAACAAGTATTATTCATAATACTTGTCTTAAGAATGCCTGATATTATTTTATTACAAGACTTTTCAAAAAACGTCCACACACTTTTCCTTGCATAACTGCAGCTGTCATTTTTTGTTGATGGAAACTTTTATTAAAATTTTCTTTGCCATGTAAAACAATACATAATACTCGTTAAATTTCTTACAGAGTCATGAAATACACAGTTGGATTGCCGCTGCTCATATTAATTTTTCAATTTAAAAAAAAGATTTGGTTTCAGTTTGAAAAGTAGATTGTTCATCAGATATTGTCTGCCAGATATAGATAATATATTCATGCAAATGTTTGACTTCAAATTTTGCAAACCTTTTTAAAGCTATTGTCTAATAATTATAGTATCTGAAGAAAGTATGCATTGATGATGAACCTTTTTTATATCTTATTACATAATTACAGTATACAAATTGTATACATATATTTATTATTTTGTATCATCAAATGCCTTAACACTGATCTTCTGACATGCAATTACCTTTAATTAAAGTATAAAAAACAAACTGTTCCGTATAAAAACTGACACAAATTTAAGAAATTTTTTATTTTCTTATTTAATGGTCATTAATTATCTAAGGTCATGTAATATGGACCACACAAAAGTTTCTGGCCCTCCACTGACTAGTTCAAGCTCTAGCTCAACAGTTGTACAAACATATGATGACGATAGCAGTAGCCATATTTACTATATTGTTATGGAAAGACTTGTTAATAAATTGAACAACATTGAGCATGAACTTAAATGTGCTTGGAGGATTTTAGATATCTTGAATCAAGAATGTATAAAAATGTGGGAGAGACTTGAAAAACTTGAGAGTTTTCTCTATGAACAGCAAAATATTATTACACAGCTTGTCAATACTAACATGGTTATGAATCATAAAAATCAAACTACCACTTTAAATAAAGAAATAACTTCACATCAGACTGAAAAATGGGAGCTCAATTCAATTGAAAAAAACTTTCAACTTGTCATAGATGAGAATGAAATAAATGTTTTCAGTCAAAAGTCAGTCGAGGAAAAATATTCCAATGATGACAGAATATCTAAGAATGTAGTTGCATCAACAGTACCTGCTACTGATTTGCAAGGTAAAACGTTATCCATCAACACATTTGAACTTTTAGAGGAAACAATGATGCCAAATGAAGCATTTTACCGCAGTTTAAATAAAGCTTACCGTGAAGATTTCATCTGTACCGATATTCAAAGGCCACTCTCACAATTAGGAATGATTTGGGAAGAGGTTGAAGACACTGATGACCATAATAATGATAATACTGCTAAAAATATTTGTAAAAATGAGTTTGATAGTGATAAAAGTGTCCAATGTTGTGAAAAATCATCTCAATCCTCGAAAAAATACAATCCCTCTGATCTTACCAGAAGAAAAAAAATTGAAGCTGAAAAAGGTGAGATATTTAGTGCTGATGATTATAAATCATACCGTGGCAATACTCCATGCATTAGTGAACAGGACTTAGCTCAACTAACAAGACTAAGTACTATTGATAATGTTTTTTTTAATGATATAAAAGGAGTCAATAGACTAAATAGTGATTGGATAAGCGTGTCCGAAGGTTTTGTAACACCTAATTCTAGAGAACCAGATCTTTTAAAAAGTCAAAGTTTACTTGATCTTAAATTAAAACTATCGGATGATTCTAACAACATTGATGAACAATTAAAAAAAGTTATTACAGAGACAGATATTGATTCATGGACATTTTCTAAAAGCCCCAGTTTAACAGGAAGATCAATATCAAGAATAAGTACAGACAGTGGTCTTATGACTGATGGAGACGTTACAATGCAATCATTATCACCCAGACTTAATTCTGCATCAAAAACTAACTTTGATACAGTATCATTGACGTTTAATAACTCGCAAATGAACATAAGCTGCTTTCCAGCAAAGTTATTTGAGCCAGAAATCGATGTACCAATTGATGTGGGCAAATTTGCTAAAGGATATGCTGAAAACAAAGAGCTTACTGATCTTATGGTAGAAAGCTTAGTACCTGAAATGAGTATGACACCTAATATTCAAAACCTACAGATAGATCAGACTATTTCTTCAATTATGCCAATTGATGGTAATACCAGTAGTAAGAATGTAAGCTTTTTTACTGAGGACGATTTCAAAACCCCTTCTAAATTAAATACTAGTTTTAATGGAAACAAAACCTTACAATATTCTACACCAGCCTCTCCTCCATCTCCAGCACCTATCGATTTAAGTAAGAACTGTTATACAATAACAAACAATAATGAACTTAGTTTTTCTTGTTTCTCTGATAATACTGATTATTTAGAAACAATTAAAAACATTGAGAATTCACAATGTAATCAAGTATTTCCTGCAACTACTGTAAAACATCTTGCGAATGGTGCGAATAATATCGAAGTATTGAGGTCTGACTTTGTTAGTTCTTTATCAAAAGATTGGAATAGTTATGATAAATCTCCTACTTTATCTAAAAAGTCAGTGCTGATAGTTTCACCCTTAAATAACCTAAATTTTACAAAATTACCAGTTTTGTCTACAGATGCACTATCAGCAATAAAAATGACTGCTAGACAACCCAAATCATCTATGATAGTTCAAGAGCCCGTATATGACATGCCTGAAGGAAATGACTTGTTAATGTATCCTACCTCTAACACAGCAAATAATGTTTCTAAGAGAACTCATATATCTGCATCCTTGGATACAGAAAAAAAAATTCCATCATCTGTGCACTCAGTAGCTATCAGTAATAAAGAAAGCACTTCTACAAACTTAACAACAACTTGTTTAAATGCTTTTGATAAAGAAATGAATGCTAAGAACCCAGATTATAAAGATCAGTTAATTTCAAATGAAAGTAGTAAAAAATTGCCAAAAGCAGTTTATACCAACGATATTGACTGTGTTATTCCAGTAGAGGCAATCCGCAAAATAGGACATGCTAATAAGGATAAGGAAATTAAAGATAATTATAACATACTTGCGTGTAAAACAATGTTTCCAACAAACTACATTACTGATGCGTTGTCATATTATCCAATAAGCGCAAGTCTTGTAGAAGTTAAGTCAAACAATAAGATTTTGAGTGATAATAATAACACCGATTGTTCCGATACTCTTGAATCGAATCCTCAAGTTTTAGTAATAGAGACAAACCATTCGGCCAAAACATCTCATGAAAAGCCTTATTTACGATCCCAATCGAATATAGTTCCTGAAAATAATGGTATGGCACAGCTTATCCAGAGTCCACAAGAAAATCATCTAATCAATAATGAACATAAAAATTTTTTATCTAAGAGTACAGAGTTAGAAGGTAATGGATCAAGACAAAAAAAAATGAAGTACGATCAGAATTTATCAACTATTATTAACAATTATGAAAATCTTGCAGAATCACTTGATGCAACAAGCGTAATTGTCTCCCAATCTGGTTATATTAGTATTTCATCGCACATAAAAGAACATCAAAGTGATTCTCTAAAGATAACAAAAAAAATAAAAAGAGGTTCTTCTTTAAGAAATGCAATGAACTCAATGAGTAATTGGTTACCAGACTTTTACTCTGGTAAAAGACTTAGAAGTTATTCTTTACCTGAAGAAATACCAACTAGTGTTTCAGAGATATATTCAAATGATGTAGATAAGCAACGTAGATCAGAAAGTTTTATGAAAATTGACAGAAGGGAGAATTATGTTAGTAAAAAAAAACAGAAACATAAATTAGTCTCAACGGTATCTGGAATCTTACAAAAAACTAAAAAAAAAAATAATCAATTCCGTTGTTACTCCGATCCCGAAAATTCAGAAACAGATTGGAGTGGAAGTTTACAAAGTGTACTATCAGAAGATGAAAACTCTTCAGACATTATTCAAGAGTCCAATATTTTTCCAAAAAAAAATCTGACTACATCTGTGAGACACCATTTTTCAAAGATTCATAACCAAAAAAAAGAGCTTCAAAGCAATATCTCACAAAATACATTGAATCATCATAGTTCTTTCCAAGAAAAAAGTGAACATCAAAATCAGTTTAACATAGAAAATAGACAAGAAAAAGCTCGTGAGAAAAGTGAGCATTTTGTTAATGAAAAAGTATTACAACATCAATCTCAAACGGTTGAAGAGAAAAATGAAGATACAGTTGTTGACATTATGGATCAGTCAAATTCTATATTTGCAACAGTTGGTGATATAAAAAAGATTAATGAAAGCTCAGATGAATCAGCATTTGAAAAGCTGACAAAATCTTCGGTTACAGTTTCAGGTAGTTCTAATATGGAGTTTGCTGTATCTCGAGCTTTAGGTAAATATCGGCAAAGGCAGTATTCAACTATATCTGATGAGCAGTTGGATGATTTTTGTATAGAAAAGAATATGGAAAAAGACTCCTGTCAAATGTTCAGAAAAACGTATCAGGAGTTAGATAATATTGACAAACAACAATTTTTTAAAAAAACTGCACACGTTTCAAAGCTTCCTGAGCTTGTAACAAGTGTTAAGGAACAGATTCCTGCAGAAGAAGCTCCTTCAACATTAGGCACAAAGGTATATGCACAAAATGGTCGATTCGTACCTAGGCATCAACAATCTCTTGAAATTCCTGTGTCGAGTTCTCGTAGTGGCGATAATGATGAAGACAGTAAAAGCAATCATTCATATAGAAGTACATCTCGTGTGTCATCTCGCCGGCAAAGTACAGAGGATTCCATTGATTCTGAAGATGAATGGTACTGTTACGAACTAAGAAAGCTCGAAGAAATAGAAAGACAATCAGATTTCACGGTGGAAACTGATACATGTAATATCTTTATAGAAGGAGCTAATGAGTCCATGTTATATCATCCTGATGAAAACGTTAAAGAAAAAATGATGTTAGTTATGAATGAATTAAAGCTAAAAACAAACAAGTTTTCCATGCAAGATAGTGAAATTAACACAGAAATCAACAGCAGTGGTAGAATGGATAAAATAAATAGTATTAAATCCAAAATCGAATGCACAACGGTAACGAAATCGAACAACGTGATGGAGTCTATTTTTGCAAGAGTAACTGATTACCAGTCATGGGCTTACGAAGAAGATAAGAAGTATGAAAAACAAGAAATTTTTACTGAAGAGCCCACATCTGGTGAAACTTCTGGGCCAGATAGTCCAATACAATCTTTCCCAGAATTAGAAGAAGGAGAAAATGAAGACAAACACCAGCAGTTCGAAAGGAACTTGCATCAATTAAATTTTCCAAAGGATAATTTTTCAAAAAATGCATTTTTAGAATCCATTCCAAATACCACTACCCAAAATGATAAGAGTTTTAATAGTGTTGAAGATTCAATTTTTTTTGACAAATTGTTTTCAAACGAAAAATTGTATGAAAATCAACAGAAAGAAGGTCTTGTAAAAAGTTACGATGTAATGGAGTCAGAAATAGTAAAATCTTTTACTCATACGTCTGAGAGCCTTGGTGAAAACTTAGTAAGTTCCAGCCCCCCAGGTTCTCGGTGGAAACTTCTCAAAGCCCTTAAAGAAAGGAAGGCTGAAGAAAAATTAAAGGAAGTTGAAGAAGCAGCTAAAGAATCAAGTATAAGTGTACCCTTACGTCCAGTTGTAAGTAAATTTATTATTGTATAATTTGTAACACAAAATTTATTGCATAATATAGATGTATTGTATAAATATAACTATAACAGTGCTTATATAAACCTTAAGGTTGATAATAACTACAAAACTAGCTGTTGTGTTTAAAACGAGATATATTTTAAGTTGTTAAAAGTGTTTAGTTATGAAATGCTCAAGATTAAAAATACGTTAGCAAAATGTATCACAAGTATGAGTGGATTCTCTTCCGACTAAACATGCTTTAAAAGTTGCACTAGTAACTACTGCATCCTGCTTAATGTAAGGAATATTATAATTCTGTATTATCCTACAAACTAACAAAATTTTTTTAATTTATAATTTATCACAAATAACATCTTTTGGTCACATATAACCATATGTTGATGACCAGCTCTTAATACTGATAAAAACTTTTTATCTATTTAAAGACAATTTATTCTTTAAACGTCATTGCTCATAATATACAAAATTTACTTCTATAAACTTATAAAGCTTACAGTGTAGCAGAAAACCTCAGGTTTAAGTTTTTATTACACATTTTTAAGTGCTTTGTGAAAATACAAATAGGCTGTGTAGGTTAATAATACAGACTTCAACTGCGTCACGTAAAGTTAAAATTGTCATTGGGTGGAAGATATTCTTGTATTCAATATTCTTGCAGTTTTTTATATTAGAAAACACATCATTTTTGATTTTGTTCTTAGAAGTAGTGATACGAAATTTTTTTACTTTCATACCCAGAATTTATTTTGGGACAATAAGAAGTAGAAATTATGAAAGCTAATTTTTTAGAACGGATAACCGTAGATGTTGAAGCAATTAGGTTAAATTATTTATTTTTAAATAGACATTCGTTTGAACCAATTTTTTGTCTTATGTTAGCCTTGCAATTCACATATTAATCTACTAAATCATCTGTCTAATGGAATTATCAAAATAAAATTTTTTAAAAACTTATATTGCTTGTTTATTTGCTTTGTAAGATGGATGTTTATCAGTGGAGTCATGTTTAAAAATACTACATTTCAGTATCTTGACTAATAGAAGTCTTCTCATTAAATAACCAATTTAAACAACAAGCAGTTTTTTGTGGCATATTGTATTGTTCTCTATATTTTATACCTAAATAAATAAAAAAAAGATAGTTATATGTTATTCTTGAGAACATAATGAGATAACTTTCAGCAAACAGTCATCGAATCCAACTATGTGTTACACGTTGGTTTCAATGACTAGTTCAGGACATCAAAACAGCTTGTTACACCAATAACACCTCATTACTAGAAAATAAGACATATTAAAAGTTACTTTAATAAAAGATAGAAATAAATGTGTTAAATAATTTCGTTATTATTGCAATTATTATAATTCTTATTTAAGACTGTTGCATCACTAGTTGACGCGAATAACAGCTTATATGAAATATTCGGCAAACAATGATTTCCTATAATCTTACTGGTTTCTTACAATGGTCATTAATACCTCATTATCAAAAAATGTAACGTTTTAAAAGTTATTCTCATAAGAGATTTAAATAAATGTGTTAAGTAATTCTGTAATAATTGCAATTATTATAGTAATTTCTTAAGATTGTTGCATCACTGGTTAACGCGAATAATAGCTTTCATGAAATCTTCGGCAAGCAATGACTTCTTATAACCTTACTGGTTTTTTATAATGTACTACCACTTATGTACTGTGAAATTTACTTATTAAAATTTGTTTTTTTATTATTGTACATAAGCATTCTTATGATATTTAAAAAAAATGTTCTTTTTATCTTTTAATAGACTTAAATAAAATAACTGCCTTTTTATGATGAGGTAAGCCAGCTGACATTGAACTTAGTTTTCGTGAAAATAAAAGAAAAAGTAATAATTAATAAAACATTTAATTTTCAAATCATTGGGTACTTTAACGTAAGTAAGCTCACTAAGTAAAGCGTTTATCTCACAATGCTACTCGCTTCGACAGGTTTTGTGCTACGTAGAGAGCTGGTATGTATAAAAAAATTGTTATGCAAAGTTCCTTGAGAATTCATATTATGAGTAAAAGATTGTACAAATGAAAAATTAAAACAAATCGTACTTTACTAGTAAAATTTTTTTGGTTAAATCATAAATATATGTGATGGTAGTCTACATGTCAAATTACTTCTATGGTATTATAGTTTAAAAATAGATTAGAATGCATGAATTATCCATTGATTATAAATGTATGCAATAAATTTTACGATCCACTTCTAAATGCATTAGAGTTTCAAGTGCTATACATCACTGTAATATCGAAAAAGCTATTCTAACTGCACAGAATTATCTCAGTTATTACATGTACTCACGTCACTCAACGCAATTTTATCGTAAAATATTTGTTAGTTTCTACCTCGTTTATGGTAATGTATAAAAAGCTAGTCCTTGTGAATTCAGTTTAACGTTTTATGGGATATAAAATTTAAACATGAACAACAAGGCATGAAGTCACATTTTTTTTTTTTTCTTGCCGTGCATGTAATCCAACTGACCACGGTTAGAGTAGTTTGTATCATCAGAAAAAACTAGGATGTACAAGTTATTTATCCTTGTTACTATAAGAAATCTACCCAGATAATTTTGTCCCATATACTCAACTCTTATCACCTTGTAACTTTAAATATCTGCGTAAGTATTTTCACCAAACCTGTAGCAGCTGAATAGTGGTAGCTCAGCTATATCTCAGTAAGTCAGGTTTATACTTTCTTGAACATTCATAGCTTATAGTCTCTTCATTTTCTGTCTTTCTTCCTCTCTCTTTTCCTTTGTCTCTCTTTTTCTTTCTCTTTCTTTGTATGCTAGTTTATATTACTACAGATTCATCACAAGGCTTGGCATCCCGATGATAAGGGAATTACTGTGTCCTAGTTTTACTATTATGACAGAAGAAGAAACTTTTATTTTGCATAGGAGCTTCCTCTTGTATTTAATTTTTCGAAAGTACTTAAACTATAAATTTTAATGAAATTAATGGCTGATAAGCGTTAATAAATGCTACATAAAATGATACGTAGTAAATAAGACTAAAAAAACGAATTTGTTAGAATATTGTTATATTCGTTAAACTTACAAATGAATTCAAATAATATGCTATGTTTTTTACAGTTTATAATTTTAGATCATTTTATATTAATTGATAGGGACTGACTTTTTTTACTCTTGGTATTAAAATAGGCTTAGGCTTTGTAATTTTCAGTTTTGATTTTAGGATATAGTTAGACATGGTTTAGATGATAAGCTCTTTTTTGAGTCATAATGTTCTTTTTTTTAATGTGGGATTTTATAGATTTTATGATGGATAAAAGTTGAGTAACTGCAAATTATTTTATTGTACAGCGTAGGTATTAAGTTTAGAGGTTTTATTTATCAAAATTTTTTATACCTTTTTTATGGTCCGTGGGCACTAAAACGATTTTTATGTTAAAAAAATGTAAGTCAACAGAAATAAGGGTGATTTTATTATAAGTGGGTCACAGAGATTATAGGATTTGTTTTTCTGTGGCAAAAATATTGAAGATATAAAAATACTATGAGTAGAAAAAGTCAGGGAGAGAATGAAACAGTAAGCAAATGAAGAAATACTAGACAATTAACAATAAACTAAATGCCCCTGTTAAGCAAAAAATATTCTTAATCACAGAATTATATAGCCAACCAAACTCAGCCTTCAAATAACTTGACAACTGCACATAGACTCAATAAGCATAAATAAAATAGGCGGCAACAGTAACATACGACAAGCATGATTCTAAGTTGCAGTGACACAACGTCATTTCTATACTGGAATCAAAAGTTAACCTCCCAGACAATCACAATATGTGAGTTCAGAAAACGGCCAAGAAATTTTCAATTAAAGATATCGATGAAATAATATGAATAGTAATCTGGTCATCCAAACCAATACTCCAAGTATTAGAACGATACTCTTAGGCTGAGATGACCGACGCATGCTCTTCAACGCACCACTTAAAAACATGTCATGTCCCAATTTTATGTCACGCTTTAAATAAAACCTTAGCTCTCAACTCTTACTCGCTCTGCAGGATTAACAAAAATTATTATTAATCACAGGACAGGCCTACAATGTAACCTGAGCTCCATGAGTGGCATGTAGGCATAAACATCTGATATAACAATTTTCCTCAATATGCCATAAATACGTCCACATTTGTTCTGAAGTTCTTACGAATAAATAATAATTGGACTATGTGTCTACTAACAATTATTTAACTTAAAAGTAGTACCAAAAAATCAGATGACAAGTAATAATGTGTTGTGCCAGGAGGCATTAGATACAAGAGTTTTCTTCACAAAGTCTTAAGAATTATAAGTCCCTAGCTGTCACAATGTCTAAAAAACGTCCTTCATTTGCTTAAATATCGTTAAAAAAAAGTTCAGGTATCTACAGACGCAAAAAGTATATGGTGTTTATCTCCAAGGCTAAAATTAAATAACTACTAATTCTTGATTTTATGAAGACGTGATATCTGCCAGGCCACCATCAGCCAAAAAAACAAATTATGCAACATGTAACGAGCAACATCACAATTTTGCCAGTGTATACGAATTTAGGTCCCTTGGATTTGACACAAGATTTGAACTTCGTAATATAAAATAGGGATAAGCATTGACCTGGAGTTAGCTCTAACTCTAATAACGTTAAAAAATTAGGATCATGCTATTTTAGAAGAAACAAACTTAAAGCTACTACTAATAGTATGACCAAACTACATAAAAACTACCCCTTTTTCATGAAAATTCAGACTGGGCAAAAAAAAAATTTTTTTGTATAGATTTCAAGCCCAGTAACAAACATTAACACTTTCCGATAAAAAAATGTCATTGAGTAATCCAAAACAATGGTAAAAATGGCCAAATCAGGTTTCTCGATTCTAATGGAAAAGCTCTAATTTGGCCAAAAAAACGTTCCATGTGCAAAAAAAGCGGAATTTCTAGACG